AAAAAAAAAAAAAAAATCTTCAATCTCAAACAAATTTCCTCTAACAAAATTCCATGAAAATGTCCCATTTTACTACTTGATTCATTTTTCCGCAGTTGCATGAATACATTCTTCGGATCCCTTCTCTTTTGCTCCTCCATATCCGTTTAGAAAGAGCAAATGGAGAAGAATAATGACAGTGGCTGTCCAACATCAGATATTGATCCATTCAAAAATAGTGTTTCCACATCTGATGAAAACTCGGAAGCCCCTGAAAATATTGAAACGTTCTCCAAAATAATAGAGTCCAGGATTGCAAAATATAATTCTGGTGAAATACCGACCAGATTCGGTAAGATGACAGAGGAAGAGTCATTTTTCCTTGAAGCCGTGATGCATTTATCCAAATTGACAAATGTCATCGCGAAATCATCTCCGTCAGGGTCAACGTTGTTGAATTGGACCAATTTGGTCTTGCAACGAGCCATGACTTTCATGGAAGAAGAATTCCGAACCTTATTAGAAGATTTCGGAGGTTGTTCCAATTCAAAAGTGGATAAAAATTCGGATTATCCATCGTATCCGCCCGAGGTCGTGACAAGAATGAATCAAATAGCCACTGCCATGATCTCAGCCGGGTTTGAAACAGAATGTTGTCAAGTATATTCAATTTCACGAAGAAACGCATTCTATGAGCAACTGAAAATGCTCGAATTCGAGAAGATAAACGGAGATGATGTACAGAGAATGCCATGGGATTCTCTAGAAGGAGAAATCACCCAATGGATAAATGTTGCGAAGAGCTGCTCAAGCACTCTGTTCCCTGGCGAAAGGAGACTCGGGGAATCAGTTTTCTTCGATTCTCCAATGATCTCTCAAAGCCTATTTAGCAACCTGGCACGTTCAATTGTAATTCAGATTCTTGACTTCGCTGAGGCGGTCTCCAGGACAAAACGCTCCGCCGAGAAACTTTTCAAATTTCTAGACATATACGAAGCCATTCGCGATCTAGTTTCTGCCATAAGTGAATCTTTCTCCAATGATGGTGAGCACGAACTGAAATCAGAGATCTTAGCCACGAGAGATAGGTTCGGGGAGGCAGCCGTCAACGTATTCTGTGATCTCGAAAGTTCCATCAAGAACGATGCAGCTAGAACACCGGTCCCTGGTGGTGCAGTGCACCCGCTCACACGTTATGTCATGAACTATCTAAAATACGCCTGTGAATACAGAGACGCCCTTGAACATATTTTCCAAGAACACGCAAAGTTGGAGGCATATTCCTCCGCCACGTCACCGTCCAAATGGAAATCATCACTGGATATTGATCACGTTGAGAGCGAAAGCCCACTCGATGACGTAGCTGCCACGATGCCCTTTTCAACACAGCTCATGAAAATAATGGAACTGTTGGATTCAAATCTAGAAGCTAAGTCAAACTTATATAGAGACCCTTCTTTGCGTGACATATTCTTAATGAACAACGGCAGATACATCTTACAAAAAGCCAAAGGATCCACGGAGGTCCGCCAAGTGATGGGCGACACGTGGTGTCGAAGAAGATCAACGACCGTGAGGCAATACCACAAGAATTACCAAAGAGAAACATGGGGAAGAGTGTTACAAATACTAAGTCACGACGGGATGCAAATGAATGGGAAAGTGACAAAGCCAGTAGTGAAAGAGAGGTTCAAGAATTTCAGCACAATGCTCGACGAAATCCATCGTACGCAGAGCACTTGGGTGGTGAGCGACGAGCAGCTTCGGTCGGAGCTAAGAGTTTCTATATCGGCGGTGTTGATTCCGGCGTACAGGTCCTTCTTTGGGAGATTTAGGCAGTATTTAGGCAATACAAAGCATGCAGAGAAGTATATAAAGTACCAGCCTGAAGACATTGAAACGTTAATTGAGGGCCTTTTTGACGGCAATCCTACATCTATGGCACGGAGAAAGACGTAAGCCCATATAGTTGTGGTCTTCATGCTGCACAAACACTCCTCAAATAATTATAATCTCATTTATCAGATTTTTGTATGCTATTTATTACTACTACTAGTTTCTTTAAATTTCGTTTCAGTTTTCTATTTCTAATCTTTCGATGCTACATTTAAATGAATCAACATCATGCAGAAATTTTTGTTGCACTTATGAGTACTTGCGCTTGTCTTAAAATCTGTAGGGGTTTCGACTGAAGACGAAAAAAATTGAGTACTTGAAAATGAATTTTAATTTTGTTTACCCGAAAAACGGATAGAGTTGAATTTGTACGTAGTTCATAGCTTAATACAAATCGTAAGAATAAATAGAAATATCAAATATGCATTGCAAAGAATAAAAAATAAACAAGGTTGTAAAGAAGATGATTTTTAGGACTAAGCAAGATGAATCAATTTATGAAGCTTAAAAAGTAACTCTTGAATATAGGAGAATATGGTGCTTGAATTACAATGTAAGCCAAAGAACTGCCCTCTACAGAAATGTAGCCATCCTCTTTATAGTGGAGGATCCTACTTTAGATATTATTAAAAATACATAGTGGAGAACCCATGATAAACCAGCTTTTCCCTAATTTGTGCCGAGATTCTCTCCCTTAGTGTGTTTGCAACGACTCTTGTCTGTGAGCTCGAGCTCGATCGGCCTCGGTGCTGGTCGGTATTGCTTCTAGAGCTCGATGTGGACTCGGAATCAGGTGATAATTCGAGCTCGGTATCGGTTGGCCTCTGCCCCTTAAGCTCGAAATCATCTCATTATAGTTCGATTCGGACCCGAACTCGATAATGACTTCGAACTCGATGTTTGACCTATACCTGAAATCTGAAGCTCGTTCATACCATCTTCGGAACCCATCTCGATATTACGAAATCTTTCTTCGATCCATTATGTTTTGACCTCGATCAATTGTACGAAGACCGAAATCTATTTCGACTGTATACAGATAGTCCCCTCGTTTCTCGGAAAGGATGTGGTGAGAAACGATATGATTTCTCAATGGCTCGATTGGATAAGTGTTGACATTTGCATCGAGCCCGACCATGACGTCCGTGATAGCTGTCTGTCGGTTTAGCTTACCAAGGCCTTTAATGCGTGTCAGACGGTGGTCGGCCACTGCTGATATTGAACCGTCATTGCTTCAATCTATAAATAGCCCTTCCGTCCACCATTTATCACTTTTACTTCTTCAATCTTTAAAAAATATTTAAGTTTTTTTTTGTCTTTTCTGAGTTCATTCACTGATCTGTGACTCTTTTCTGCAAAATTCTTCTTCTAAACCACCAAATCTTTGTCACCTTCTTTAAATCCAAAAATGGTGAAGACATCAAAAATCGTCCCCCTAAAAGAAAAGGCTTCTTCTTCCCAATCTGCCACCGATAAAACACCGGTGGATCCACAGCCTGAGAAGTGCGTTCCGGCGGCATGTGTTCTTACCTTCGATTTCAAACCCGATAAAGGTTCGCCGATTCTTGACCGATTGAGCCCGTATCGAGATATATTTGTTCGATAATAGGGGGGGTATGTCGAGCAGATAAAAAAAGATTGTAACTAGGGGAACAAAGAAGTGGTAGTGCCGTCTCCCGAAGAGGATATTACTACTCACGTGAGAGGGTTTCTAAGTGTGTATACTTACCCTTTCACGTTAGGTCCCTTCGACCCTGTTATCATAGATTTTTGTCTCAAATACCTAATAACACTAGGCCAGATCCGATACTTTATGAATAAATATGAGGGGATGCCTTTCATCCTCGATCATCTCATCCAATTGTACCGTCCTCACCTTTTTCGAGGAGGGTTAATAAAACTTCAACGTCGAGCTACCAAGGCTCTATTCTCGAGTATAGACGAGGACAGGGATCGAGGCTGGATGGGCAGGTTCGTTCGAGTAAGGACTTCGGACCTGATTCTGAATGAAAAGATGCCTTTTCCCGAGGAGTGGAACATAAAGCGTAAGTGTAATTCTACTATTATCTCCTACTATTTTGTCCTTTCATTTCTTTTCTCACCGATATCCCCCTTTTTGTGATGCAGCGGTTCCCTAGATGCCCGGTGCAGTGCCCGATCTCAAGGACTGGGTACAGAATCTGGTTTTGACCTTCTCATACGCCGAGCGCTCATGGCGTGACTTGTCAAAGAAAAATCATGGTAAGCCCCTTTCTCGTATTTTTTGGTAGTTCGAACAAGATGTTTTTCATACACTTTAATAAAATTTCCCATATGTAGGTGTGGGCAAAAGATGTGGTTTTGAGGCCCTCGCCTGTCGAGGAAGAGGCTTCGGCCTCTGTCCCAAAGCCGGTGAAAGATAATAAGAGGAAAAGAGCCTATGTTCCCGAAGATCCAAAACCAAAGAAGAGGACGGCTTGTAAGCCGAACAACAGTACCATTCCTTTGACCGTAGAATCAGTTCTGCGTCTAAGAGATGAAGACGAAGAAGAAGAAAAAAATGATGGGTCCGCGCTGGCAGCCTGAACGAAGAAGACCACCGACGTTCCACAAGCAGCTGGATCGATGGTGGTCATAAGGCTCCGCCTCGAACTGAGGATATATCGGAGAAAGATTCAGGCAGAGTCCCTGAGTTGTTGGAGATCGAAGATGCTTCCCATCGAAGCCAACGGATGGGGGATATGTCTGAAGGGGCTCTCCCCGAATCTCTTCGAACCAAAGAGAATGCTCCAAGTGATTCACTTGGGGCAGTGGCAATCGAAGACTCGCCCACTTTCCCTGCTTTTTCCGCAGGGGCGATTCGGGAAGCCCAAGCTTTGGGGGCCCTCGAACTAGACAGGCCTCATGATTGAGAGGATCCTTTTCGTGACCTGTTTACCGGTGTCGAGGACGTTGCCGGTACAAGTGACACATCGGATCTTTTTCACGAAGTGTAGCAAGCTTTGAATCAGGTAAGCCTTAAATTATTTTGTTGACATTACCTTTATGTTTGCTTTTCTTTTCTAACTTTGTTTCTTCTTTCTTTGCAGGCCGCGGCAGTTCATCGAGAAGCATGTTCAGGGTCCCGAACCGAGCTGCGTCGATATGAGGCCGACCTTCAATGGGTTACGGAGGAGAGGAACTCCCTTAAACTCCTCTTAGGGCAAAGGGGAGAGGAAATAAAAGACCTCCGAACTGAGTTAGCCAAGGCTTACCAAGATCAGACCGATCTGTCCGAGCAGGTAATGATACTTTTAAAAGCCTATGGGCTTGATACCGGAACGATGGCTAATTTTTTGGCCTCACAGCTGCAGTAGAAAATTGAGATAATTGGGAAACTCCGTGAGGAGGTCGATGTGATAAAAGCGGAGTCTTTGAAGTGGAAAGAAGGTATGGATCGCTTGGCTGTAGAGAAAGAAACTGCTCAATCCCAATTATCATCGGCCGAAAACCAACTTCATAGTATGAAGGAGAAAAGCTCAATTCAAGCAAGAAGAATAGAGGAGCTCGAGTCTCGGTTGGCCTCTGAACTTGCCAAGGTCAAATCTAACGCCGAAAAGGCAAAGGCCGATGCGGATGCACTCGTGGCCATCTATCGGGTTGATGCTGAAGCTGCCCAGGTCCAAGCAAGAGAGGCAGCCGAGACTGCCGATACTCGAGCACATTGGGACGCTGAACTTGCTATGTGCCGATCTCGGAGGGAGACCCTCGAGGAGATCCATGCTCGAGGTTTCGATCTCGATGAAGAGATAATAAGGGCTAAAGAACTCGAAGCCGATGCTGAAGCCTTGGCTTCCGATGATGACGATGATGATAATGATGACGATGATGGGAGTAAGAGTGGGTCCGAGAATGGGGGGGAGCCCGGTGGAGAAGAGACTGCTCACGGAGATAACCAAGAAACTTAGCCCTTAGTTTCTATGTTGTAATCAATCATGTAATTAATCTTGTATGTATATATATATATATATATATATATATATCTTTTTCTTTTACCGACTTGCTTCTGTTTTTTTCCTGCCTTGTGAAGATTTTATTCATGCCTTATGAATATTTTCATAAGAATTTAGGCAATTTGATCGAATTTGGACTTCGCAGCCTTTATAACCGAGTGAGTGCTTACTCAAACTTGAAATAAGGTAGCCCATAGACTTAGTAGTCGAGTTGATTGATTGTTTGAACTTGAAGTGATGTAACCCTTAGGCTTATTAGTTGAGTGAGTGATTCGAACTCGATGTAATATAGCCCGTAGGCATAATGGTCGAGTGAGTGCTTGCTTGAACTCGAAATAAAAGTAGCCCGTAGGCTTAGTAGTCGAGTGGATGATTCGAACTCGAAGTAATGCAGCCCATAGGCCTAGTGGTCGAGTGAGTGCTTGCTCGTACTCGAAATAAAAGTAGCCCGTAGGTTTAGTAGTCGAGTGAATGATTCGAACTCGATGTAATATAGCCCGTAGGCGTAATGGTCGAGTGAGTGCTTGCTCGGTATCGAAATAAAAGTAGCCCGTAGGCTTAATAGTTGAGTGAATGATTCAAACTCGAAGTGATGTAGCCCTTAGGCTTATTAGTTGAGTGAGTGATTCGAACTCGATATAATATAGCCCGTAGGTATAATGGTCGAGTGAGTGCTTGCTTGAACTCAAAATAAAAGTATCCCGTAGGCTTAGTAGTCGAGTGAATGATTTGAACTCGAAGTAATGCAGCCCGTAGGCATAGTGGTCGAGTGAGTGCTTGTTCGGACTCGAAATAAAAGTAGCACGTAGTCTTAGTAGTCGAGTGAATGATTCGAACTTGATGTAATATAACTCGTAGGCATAATCGTCGAGTGAGTGCTTGCTCGGACTCGAAATAAAAGTATCCCGTAGGCTTAGTAGTCGAGTGAATGATTCGAACTCGAAGTAATATAGCCCGTAAGCGTAGTAGTCGAGTGAGTGCTTGCTCGAACTCGAAATAAAAGTAGCCCGTAGGCTTAGTAGTCGAGTGAATGATTCGAACTCGAAGTAATGTAACCCGTAAGCGTAATGGTCGAGTGAGTGTTTGCTCGAACTCGAAATAAAAGTAGCCCGTAGGCTTAGCAATTGAATGAATGGTTCAAACTCGAAGTAATGTAGCTCGTGGGCTTATTAGTCGAGCGAGTGATTTCGAACTTGAAG